ATATGACTCAACTGAGTCATATGCGCAAAACCCATGACCTCATAACGAGGTCATGTACGAAACATAAATCATATGTGTAAGGCTTACCCGCAAGGCACACTCGCAAGGCATACTCGCCATGCGCACGTCCCATGACTCATACCTGAGCCATGTGCGAAAGCATCACAAATCCCACACATAACAAATTATATAACCCGAATGAGTCATATGTGCAAAACAATAACATACCTGCAACTCATAACCATGTGTCACATGAAAGCCTTTTCCATGCCAAGCCATGTTCGTGACACTGGCCCCCTTATGGGGCCCACACATCATCATACATATAAATCTCAGTTGCGTCCTGTGACTATAATACCACAGAATTGAAGGTGTCAGAATAACACCATATATCTCACCACTGTCCCTCCGACCAGATTCTGTTTGCAGGATATAGGAGAGGGGACCTTCGGCTAGGTCTGAAAAGTGCAATGGAGTAAATCCGTCAACTACCCAGAATGTTACTAGACTTTCAAAATGTGATATCTTTGGCATGGGCTGTAGGTAACGGGACATTTTTACACAAAGAGATGGCATTGAATGGTAAAGGATCTCAGCAAGAGACCAATACATTCACACCCATCCTACAATCTCTAGAAGAGTCTAGAACTCCAAGAAACATGACTATAGAAGTTATTAGACTTCACAGAGTGTTGCAACCAGGTTTCGAAATACCCTATAGTTACGAAGACAACTTCTCATACTGCAACAGTGATTGAAATCCTGTTACCCAAACCAATCAAGGGTTGCCAACTGAGGCAATAATTATCAATCCGGTAGAATAGCTTTCTGCCAATTAGTAGGAAGCCTTCCAAAAGATATTTATTTGTTAAGTAAGGAGTTATGGAGGTTTAAAGTCAGGCGATCAAAAAAGGTTTTCAATTACAACTACCTTCACAGATACAACCTGTAGATGAAACTGATCATTTCATCAATAATGAAGACAATTGGAACCAACTCAGTTCAACTTGAGAACTAGGCCACAAGTCTAAAGACTCTAAAGATCGGATAACTACTATTGGAAACAGTATGGTTCCAAGTTAGTTATATCATAATTAGCAAAGAGGGTCTGGTAATTTTCAGGGTCTCCAGGTGTTCACACCTTTCAAGAATACCCGATGTTGCGAGTTATAATCAGAAAGGTACATAGTTGCATGATAAATAAATATAGTCTGTAAACACTCAGATGTGGAATATATATATCAAAGGGCCTCCCAAGCTTTAGACATCATCAAGCAATGGAGAAGAGACCTTAATAATAGAATATTGTTTATATGATTCTATCTTACTTTACCAAATTTACTTCGCTCTTAGTAGTCATAAACGAAAAGAGTGAACCCGAGCCTTTCTAGACCATCTCTGTCTACAGAAATGAATTTTGATTGGCCTAGACAATTCTGAAGTCTATCAGATTGTCTCCGCCTAACAACTGCATAGGTGACCCAATCTCTTTGTTTCCTTCCATCTTGGAACTGTATAATCCATTGTCCCACCAGTCCTCTCAATAGAGATTCCGCGAAGGGAATCTTGATCTCGTTGTGGTGTTCTCCAGATCTCTTGACTGTGAAGTATCCTTCGCATTGTACTAAGAATATTCGTAGCTTATCTTCGTCTCCTTCGTATGTGTCAGGCACTTTGACTTTTGGCTGTTGGACATTTCCTTGGCCTGTATTGCCTGTTGCTGCGAGAAATGTCTGAAATTGATTTTCAGTCATTCCTAGTGCACTGGTAACTGGTGCCAGAGCGGCTGGGGCCGGTGGCAATAGTACTGCTGATCCTGTAACTGGTTCGGGTACTTGGTTATTGGTTTTGTTTTATGTTTTGTTTTAAGTATCGCTCTGATACTTGGTTTGTTTTAAGTATCGTTTGATACTTAGTTTTGTTTTATGTTTTGTTTTAAGTATCGTTTAATACTTGGTTTTATTTTATGTTTTGTTATAAGTATCATTTTGATACTTAAATAGTTTTACCAAAGTGTATCGCTTGATATCTTTGATTAGTGTCATTTATGCTCGATATGAACAGATTTTTGTATTTAAAGACTGCCTGTTCCCACGATGGAAAAGGTAGACTTTGACAGACAGTATTTCAATATACTTAGTTGAACGGTTACTTCTTTGTTCCTCAGTACACCCTCGAAGCCTCCTTTAGTTCTCAGCTCTCGCCTCCTCCCTGGTAAAGTAGGCCACCTGCCAACTATCGTATTTATTACTGATAACATTATTAGCACCTTGTAAACACGTTACACATCCCAACATTCTCTCCAGTCGTGGAGTTCCTATAGGAGAGCTATCGACTGGTGATCCTTTCTCTGTAGTAACAGGACTTGCTGCCCTTAAACGTTCTGCTGAAATATGATCTAGGATGTCGCTAAATCCCCCAAGGTTGAGATTTTGATCATTGATGTTGATGTCTCCTTCCTTGTCTGAGTTGAAGAAATTCAGCTTGTATTGTTTGGCGTCATACTAGTTGATGCTTTATAATGTAACGATCCCCCTTTCGATGGTTAGTTCTTGGTGACAAGGAACAATACTTCTCTTCTTCTTCTTCTTCTTAGCTTCTGATAGCACTAGGTTTCTGTCTATGTTGCCGATAGTACAAGACCTTTGTCTTCTACCGAGAATACCTATGGTAAGCTTTCTCTAACTCTTCTCCATGAAGAGCTTTCTCCGCATAACAATAATAAAGGTCATGATAATGATAAATAGTGTCAAGGTGTTTTATTTTCATTAAGATAATAAGTAGGAAAAGTACTTAGCACAAAGTATGAAGAACCTATCCTCCACGGCGGTACCGGCCTCCTTATATAGTGTTCTTCGCGCCCGTAGTCATGTGACCCAAAGTAGTCATATGTGCAAAATCAAATCATAACAAACTAGTCATATGACTGAAGTGGTCACTTGCGCGAAGCCCATGTCCTCGTAGCAAGGTTATGCGCGAAAACTCATAAACCAATCATAACGCCATAAACAAGTCATATGATCCCAAGTGGTCACATGCATGAAACCCATGACCTCATAACAAGGTCATATGTGAAACATATATCATATGCGCAAGGCATACCCACAAGGCATACCTGTAACTGGTATGAATACTCGGTTATTGGTTTTGTTTTATGTTTTGTTTTAAGTATCACTTTGATACTAGGTTTGTTTTAAGTATTATTTGATACTTGGTTTTGTTTTATGTTTTGTTTTCAGTATGGCTTTGATACTTGGTTTGTTTTAAGTATCGTTTGATACTTGGTTTTGTTTTATGTTTTGTTTTAAGTATCACTTTGATACTTGGTTTGTTTTAAGTATCATTTAATACTTGGTTTTGTTTTATGTTTTGTTTTAAGTATCGCTTTGATACTTAATTAGTTTTACCAAAGTGTATCAATTGATACCTTTGATTAGTTTCGTTCATGCCAGACATGAACAGATTTGTATATTTAAAGGCCGCCTGTTTCTACGATAGAAAAGGCAGACTTCAACAGACAGTATTTCAATATACTTGGTTGAACGGTTACTTCTTTGTTCCTCAGTACACCCTCGAAGCCTCCTTTAGTTCTCAGCTCTCACCTCCTCTCTGGAAGAGCAGGCCACCTGCCAACTATCGTATCTATTACCGATAACATGATTAGCACCTTGCGAACATGTTACAATACCTGCAAGGTACACTCGCCAGGTACACATCTCATGACTCATAATCGAGTCATGTGTGAAACATAACAAGTTATAGCATAATAAGTCATATGACCTAAATGAGTCATATGCGCGAACCAATAACATACCTAAGACTCCTAATTATGAATCATGTGAAAACCTTTTCCTTGCCAAGTCACCTTCGTGAAAGATGGAGGAACTATAGAAAGCCTGAGAAGAACCTGTAGAAAGCCTGAGGAGGACCTATAGAAAACCCAAAAAGGGCCTGTAGAAAGCTGAGGGAGGAGCTGTAGAAAGCCTGAGTAGGGCCTATAGAAAGCCCAAGGAGGACCTGTAGAAAGTCTGGGGATAACTCGTAAAAAGTCCAAGAAAGGCCTGTAGAAAACTCAAGGAGGGCCTATAGAAAGCCCGAGGAGGAGGACCTTTAGAAAGTCTAAGGAGGGCATATAGAAAGCTCAAGGAGGCTCTGTAGAAAGCCTGTAGAGGGCCTGGAGAAAACTTGTTGAAAGTCTGTAGAGGGCCTGAAGAGCCTGTTGAGCACCTGTGGAGAACCCAGAGACAGCCTGTAGAATGCCAGTAGAAAACCCATAGAAAGCCCATAGAAAGCCTATAAAGAGCCCATACAAAGCCCACAAAGAGCCCGTAGAAAGCCTACATGGAACCTCTATAAGTAGTTAGTAAGAGCTCATATGCCGGTCATGAAGAAAAAGACAATTTACTTACTGTATTTATTGTTATACTGGATTGGGAGATGTAAATCTTACTCTTTGATTTTTCACAAACCTTTCCATAGCTTGGCCGTGGTTGGGGTTGATGATAACCAAGAAAGAAATGATGGTTGATGGCTTGTTGTGGGTGGTAAGCGAATTCATGACCTCTTCGCTTAGCTTAGCTAGAACTAAGCGTACATTATCTCTTAAGTGCGACAAAAACCCTAACCTGTGACCGGTTGCCGTCGCAACAAGCTAGAAATAAGCTAACACCACGCTCCGAAATCCCTCTAATGCGTCTTTCTCCCCCTGGATTTCTCCCTTGGGGCATCCACAATTACGTATTATGCAGCGAGTGACTCAGAAATCCTCCATGCGCCTCGCTTCGCTAGGCTTTTCCCCTCTAGTTATCTGCCCATGACGCCAGCCGGTCCGAGCTGTCTCCTGTAAGCTTGAAGCAGGGAACAAAGGTAGCCAAGCCTCCCTCGATACACTATGATACAAGGAAGTGAAAAGGCTGCCTCCTCAGTTGAGTACTTAAGCATCTCTATCCCCGTTTCTTGTGAGGAGAGTCCTCTCTTGCTCTTTCCTCTCACAAGCCTTCGATTCATCTCTCGACAAACACCTCCTGCCGACCAACCATCAGCACAATTCCCATAGAAGGCATCAAAACGCAAGAGAACCCAATAAATACCTCTCAAAAACCAACTCTGAGCCGCACACCGCATCCGTACGATTCCAACGCTTCTGTTCTGGCCGAGGAACAAGCCTCGCCTGCCCATCCGTGCCGAAGCGAGAGAGAACGCGCCGACAAGATGGAAGCTGCTGTCTTCAAAGCCCTTCAGGAAGCCTTCAGCCCCAACAATGGCCTGGATTGGACATACGAAATACACGAACTAGTCATCGTTGATTCATCTGGTCGAGAATCAACTATCCCAGCGAGGGTCGTTGAATATCTGCTCCACGCTCGGCGCCTGGGTTTCGTGCGCAGACCGGTTAAGAATCAGCGCCGCTCGAAGAGATTATGAAGAAAATGTCTCAGGGGCGCTCAAATGCGTCCAGCTTCCGACGCCAAGTCCGGACAAGGCATGCAATCGCCCCTCGTCAGGAGTGACCTACCTTAGCAGAGTCTAAAGAACCGGAAGAAAAAGAAGAAGGAGAAGAAGAAGAAGGCGTGAGCCGGTAAAATCTGGAGAACCGACATGGTTGAGAGAGATTGGGTGAGGATGGAAGTTTGGGTTTGGTCCGGGCCGGCCATGGCCTCGGCCACGGGCGGGGGGGACGGCGGAAAGTTCGGCCAACACACCCGAACCGAGTATTTCAGCATTATTTCAACAGCTATCTATGTTGGCCTTTATTTTCCAAGAGGCAAGGAGAAAGCGGAATGAGGCTGTGAAATATTGTGTAACACCTGGAAGTATGAATTTAGCAGTGTCGAAGGCGCCAAGAGGTCCAATCAATTCGGTCGTTGATTCTGAAGGGGAAAGTAGTGGGTCGGTCCACTATTTTGGATTTTATCGCCGAGAATGAGAAATCAGAAGAGCGGAGGAGCGGCTGGGGAAGAACACAGGAGGCAGGGTCAAGGGGCGGATGATCGCGAGATGGATGAGGGGGATGAAAAGAAAGGCGGCGGAAACAGGGTTGGGGAGCGAACGATGGGCAAGGTATGAACATGTGGGGGGGTATGAAGCTGGGATGAGATTGCGATCGCTGGTGGCGGCGAGGTGTCGTATCGTCTCGTCGTGGCGAACGGCGAAGCTGATAGAGTAGACGTTACCGGCGTTTGGGGTTTTTTTTTTTGGTGGCAGTGGAGAGGGTCGTTTTTTGATCGTTTCCGATGGAACATAACAGTTTTTCTTTCCTCTTTCATGCCACTGAGCTCATGGATACGGTGGTGAGAGCAGTGGAAAAGGTAGTCGGCCGACCCTCTTGGCCGGGTGGTGGGGAGGAATGCCAAACACGAAGAGCGAGAGGCTCTCAAAAATCTTTCAAGATATTTCAGGAACGCCTCTATCACAATCACTCATTATACGTTGTATCTACAATGCGAATCGAGTGTGGTGTTTCCAGCGATCTTGAGCTATATATAATTCATCACTCGGTCCACGTACGCGCTGGACTCTATGCCAGTGATGTAACGAAGCCAGGGAATTTACTCCGTGCCACTTTCCTCCATTTCATCGCGGTAGTTCGAGATGCGCCTTAAGATGTCGCTGGCCATCTCCTTGTCGTCGCCCTTGATCATGATGCAATGCAACTGGGCTCATTTCTGCTGGTACCCATTAGGTTCCGTCTGGCGAGACCCAGGTATGACACAAGTACAAGTAGGAGTACCGGCACTGCACTCGGGTATGGTACCGGTATGTAGAAGCCTTTTCTCGTTTTTATCACGCTCCGCATGGCTGAGAAGTAAAGAAACAGTTCTCCCCCAATCGAAAATCCCTAAACATTACCCACTCATACAACACAAGTATGATACCGTACTTCCTACATATAAAAATAGATCCGCCAAAAATACTTCTTCCATCCCTACCCCTGCTGGCCCAGAATGCATCAGAACTCGCAAAGTGCACTCTTTCAGCTACAAAATGCATGCCATACAACCAGTCAAATTTGGTAGATCTCCCCAAACACACAACTAATCTTGGGTTAACAAGATCTGAGCCTGTGTACCAGGAGATAATTCGATCTTCCTATTCCTTTTTTGTTCAGGGCTGCGCCGGGCTCCATGGGACCTTTTGTCCCGAAACGGAGATTAGAACCCTTCACGGAGATACTCAATATGACGATAAAATGGGGCAATTGCGCTCGAATATCAAAGCACCGCTAATCCTTTTCTGACGTTTTCCCCCCTCCACCAACACGGCATCGATCGCTCAGCCCCCGCTTCGGTGGATACGTGCATCTGGCGCTCGTGGGGTTCGGCGAGTTACAATAGTGCCAGGTGCACGAAACGGCCCCCCCTTCCCGGCCGGAAACTACCGAATGGTTATCATATACTCGGAATGGCAGGGCACCTTAGGGAAGTGGGGTATACGGGATACCGTAAAGAGGGGGTCGATACTAACTTAAGGTGCGCTACTTCCAGGATACCGACGCCAGTATGGTACTGTACCGAAATGGCGAAATCAGGATTTATTCTTGTCCACCGAATTGCGCAGCAGGGCTGCTGCGGTACACTTGTACTAGTACGAGTACAGTACGAGTACTCTGGCTCTAGCGATTCCCGGTATTTGCTTGTTCCTACCGTAAGCCCTCTCGTTCTGCGCTGCGGTCTTAACATGCGGATTATGGTTCTACTTCCATTTACGGGTTGGGAGCTCGAGTGCTTGTGGGGTGGGTATTTCTAAGGATTACGAACACCCGCAGTGTATGGCTAGCTATGCTTCGGGCCAGCTAACGATGACTGCAGGGGAGGTTTGAGATACCGTAATGTGGAGGAACCTAGCGGCCTGACTGATGAGCTGGGGACGAGAATGCCATATCCTGGCCTGCGGCCCGAGGAGTTAGGCGTTAATTGACCGGTTGCTCTTTTCGCGACATGGCTTAAAGCGGGGTATTGGGGGGTGGCAAATTTGGTGTTCTCCTACCGGTATCCTCTCCCAGGCTGTCCCTACTGCGTGGTTAAGGCAGCTTGTCTAGGTGAGGGTTCAGGGAGCTTGTCTGGATGTTCAGGGTACTGTGCAGGAAATTGGGCACACCTTCCGGTCTCAGGGGAAAGGCTGTGATACTGCAACTGAGGACTGCTTTTTCTTTTTTTGGCGTAGGACAGTATTGGAAGCCCCGTTTGATATATGGATTTGGTTCCCCTTGCTAGAGTAGGATTCAATATTATAATTTATAACCCTAGCGCGCAGGAGGAGGCGTCAGCCACAAGGGTAAAGCAAATATACAAGAACGGATGTGAGACGTACGGTACAAAAGAGCTACCGGTATTGGAATGCGACAGTCTCTAGGGCAGCAGTGAGACCTATCGGTAGCCCATCCTATGATACAATCACTGGCTATTGACCCCGGTGGCGAGTGATTAGCAATGACGGGTGGTGCCATTTACTTCCGCAATGATAGCGACCAAAGGGCCAAAGGGGAGGTGCGTAATAGCGATCGAAGGCACTAATAGGAAATGTGAGACCGGATATATAGGGTGACTTTTCACTCTTTAATTTCTGTTATCTTAAGGTTTGCCTAAGATTGTATGACATAGATAAACCTGAGGATAATATCACCCGTTTCGGATATGTTTCCAATAACCGTGAGTAAGCAATTTCCGAGGGCCTTTTCCCTCTTTTTATAGGATCCTAGAGGACGAAATTAAGGGATACTCCAATGTCTTGCATATCTAGAGATCATTATTCTCCGGTTATTCAATCAATTCCATCACCCATGCGATATCCGAGCCATATACTGTGATCAATTTTATCATAAACCTTCTTCCCCACATTCTCTCCCATACGTTGTTAATTGTCGTCTGAGCCATTAATTTAACCTAATAATGGGCTTGAAACTCGGAGTGATTGTTTCTTTCTCCGACTAGGTTATTCCGTGGTTCTTTTCCAGCTTTGTCAAAACTCTACTATCTGCCAATTGAGAGCGTTCTTAATTTATGTCAAGAATGCATGTTAACTCACAACCTCAACAAACTGCTTGGTAGAGGAACAAGGGGAACTGGGAGCTGATCCTCAAGCCCAGCTATGTAAGCAATCTCAATCCCACTTGGTTTACTAACCCCAAGGCCCGTTCCCAGTATCTTGCTCTCTCATAGCCTACCGTACCCACCACCAAGGCATAGTTTATGATCGAGTGACTGTACGTAATCATCCTCTGATTGGCGCAGTACAACTGGCTGCAGACTTGGCATGCATACAACCATGCACTCCCGGTACCCGACTTGACAACAGCTTGCTGCGCTCCAGCCGAGCTTCCCTAGCCCCGCAAGCCCCACCATGCCGGACGAAACACTCGGGGACTTTTGCTTTGATACGGAAGACGGTAAGGTACCAATCCTTTCCCGTTTCTAACCTACTAATACTTATGAATTAGATAGCGGCGGAACCTCGAGCGGCAAATGCAGCAGGCTGTCCACGGCAGAGTCCCAATGTGAGTGTAGATCTATTGACTTTTGGTCAGAGTGACTACTAATTGATAGATTAGATGAGATCGAGTTCGTTGCAGAAGTCACGGTAGCCCCGGAAGGGGATTTAGTGCTCGAGGTCCCATCTAAGTATGGACTTGCGAGGCTCAAAGTCTCTTCTCAGGTGCTTTGTCTGGTGTCACCAGTATTTCGAGCCATGTTAGGTCCTTCATCCATGTTCAAGGAAGCTTGCGAGCTACGCGCCTCGACATCAAACTATAGACTGCAGCTCGAAGACGATGACCCAGAAGCGTTTGTGGCGATATTGTACGCTCTGCACTGCCAGACCGAGAAAATCCCCTCCTCCATCTCGTTTGAGGATCTATTCCATATGGCGATTATCTGTGACAAGTACGATTGCGCGCTGGCCGTGGCTGTCTGGGTTGAAATTTGGACCGCAGGGTGGAGGGAATTCGCTTTCGAAACAACTTACTCTGAGTGGATGTTTATTTCTTGGACCTTTTGTTTACCTTCAATATTCGAACCATTGAGCCGGAAGATAGTTATGGAAGGGCGATATGAAGATGAACTGGGGCAGCTTCTTTGGGGTGGGAGGAGCTTGGATGAAGTTATGGTTCCCGATCCGGTCATCTGTAGGCCCCTCTCTATCCTGTAGCCCCGGCTGTGTACTGAGTAGATGGTAGCCGCGATACTTCAACTACGCTCCGACGCCATAAAGGCCATCCTCGATGATACGGTATCCTACCTAGATCTCTACTCCAACGCGGAAGGGACAATGTGCAGCTACGGAATCCCCGAATGCGACGTCATGATTCTCGGCAGTATTGTCCGGGAATTCCGAAAGCGCGGGCTACACAATCGCGAAAAGTTTTTACTTATGAGCCTGAATGATGTGGTAGCAAGTATCAAAGGGATAAGTATCTACTTCTATACAAATTATTCTGGGACTGTCTTTCATGGGGACACCTGTAGCTTCTTGCCAGATCTTTTCGCAAAGGTTGATAAGATTTGCGAGGGTATTGGGGAGCTAAAGCTTGAAAGGTTTACTAAAGGTGTTGTGTGGTGCAGGTATAAAGACGATTTCGGGGGAAAATTGGAGCCTTTGGAATATGAGCTGGTGTAGCTCGGAGTGGTATAATACAGGGAACGTTTACCAGCGGTAGGGTGTATGTCTAGATCTCGTTTTCACGGATCGTCATCCGGTGTCTTCGTGGGGAGTTTTTTATTTTCTATGAAATATTTATCCTAGGGGGGCGTTTGGCGCACCGCGATTCCGACTTGAAAACAATTTGGGCAATTCTAAATCTCACGTTATACCCTAAAATCGCAGTGCTCTCAAGTCATGATTTGAAGTTGCGGCGGGCCAAACGGTCTGCAATCTTGATTGCGGTTTGATTCTTTACCTTGATTGAGCTAAACTTTTGAGAACCACCCTTCACATTTCAGTTTGATCCCAGTTTGATCTACCACTCTTGTGCTAAGCGAGCGAGTTTTCCTGTTTCGGAACCAACATTTCATTTGCTGCCCCAATCAAGCCTTGAAGGCCCAAAGCAAATTCTCCACCGAATCATACTGTGGTTTCAAATCATGATTTGAAGCCGGCGCACACAGCCCCTTAATCAATAGAGGATCGAACTACCCATTTGTCTAGTAGAGACAAATTGAATTCCCATATCACTCGTGCTAGCACCGAGGCCGATTTGAAAACCGTGAATTTTCATATCAGGTGTGTAGCAGAGAAACTACATAAGAGTGAACAGAACTAGACCAAATATCTCAACGGCTTCACTCCCACAACTCAGAATCGACCACTTCGAACCTCTAAGTATCGAGCAATCTCCAACCTCCGCAAGCAATTTTTCCCCCAATAACTCTCCTTCGAACGGAACATAAGGTCCAATTCTTTACTGCGCAAAACGTCCCCACCGACCGATGTGCAAGTCACGGAAAAAAAGCCTTCCGTGCTTATCTCCCGGAACGATATACCTCCTCCCCATTGTGTGCAAAATACTCTTCTACCCGTCTCGAAAGAGGCGTACCCCCCGAAAGCGCCCTTGGTGACCTAGGTTACCTGAGTAACTTTTACAAGGGTTCAGATGAAGCTTAAGAGGAACTCACGACACTGCCCTATTGGGCATCTCGTGGGCTCTAATTGGCGAGTGGGTAATATGTGGGATGTGGGAACTTAGCTGAGTGTAGTGATAGTGGATAACACAGGGCGGGCAATTTACGTCTGAAGAAAAATTTACCTCATATGTACTGTACCTCACATCGTAGCACTAGTAGCCACCTCCAATTGATTCTATACATTCTTATCAGTAGAGGGTTTTTAATGCCCAACAGGTACCCACCGGGCCCAGGGGATATTCTGCTCGAGTACAGTAATGTACACCTGTGCCCAGAAGCTAAGTTATAAGTACCGATGCCATACTATTTAGATATTTTCCGGGGAATTTTTTTACAAATACTCGAGTAGTAGTTAGGCCCCAACAAGAGCCCTAACCCTGTCAATTATTTCGGGCGGGGAATCATCCAAGACGTTTGTGGGGGATTTCGAAGCCCAATTGATAATAATATTATGAAGTTTCCATTGATCATAAAATCATGCGGGTTCGGTGAATCTAACCAACGACCTAGGTGGTCTTTACACGAACTCTCATTTTTCCTGGCTATGAGATACGGTAGGGAAGATCAAGAGATCCTCATTACCTTAAAGTAATGTTTGCAACCTCTAAGACCTGTTTGGGCCTATATGAGAAACCTAGTTGGCCTATGCACCCGGGATTTTATGGAGTAATTAATATTTTATGATGGAAAGCCAGTAGACGGGGATCCTAGGACCCCCTCACTTTGGGTGAATTTTGGGCACTTTTGAGGGAATAACAGCGTCTGCGGGAGGCTACCACCAAGTAGGCAATATCCCAACGAATAGCTATCGCTCAAGACCTGCGGACGACTACTCGTACCTAATCTTCACAGTTCGGTCTTAAGGGCATCCCACAATACAGCATGCATGATACGCACGAGCAAAAGCCTTACCCGACGCCTCGAGCGTCCTCGTTGGCCCCGGCAGGTTTTGGCTCACCGTATGGTTTTACCCACTATTGTGCTTTTCCTCGTTGAGGGGGTTTTGCATGTATCATAAACTTTCCTTTCTCCCTCGCCCGCGTTCAGTCCACCTTTTCAAGGTTGCCGCGTTTTTAGCCGGCGGTGGGGGAGGTTCGCTCACATAACTGCAAGCAAGAGAGCATTCAGGTAATTTTGGGTTGTGGGTGAAGGGCAGCTGCCTTATCAGAATATCTAAGCATACTTTTGGCTTCTGCAGGGGAAGTAGGATATGATACATAACATATTTTTCCTTTTTTTTTTTGTCCCTGCTGGTACTGTACAGTACTCACACATCAATACCCAAGAATGCGTCTTCCAGCCGATGATTTGCGGGAGTCATCAAATATTCGGCTTGCGGAGGTAATCTTAGCAAAGATCCTTGAGTATGATTCAAATGTTTTTGGGTTGTCTGGTGAGCATGCGGATTTGATGGGTTAGATATGACCCGACTATGATACTTGAATTCTACAGTATCATGGGTTGCCAAGTTAACAGCATACATCAGCAGAAAAACGAAGGCCTAATATTGCATGCTAAACCTATTATACTATGATATCACAAATTTGAAATCAAAAGGAAGCGCCTTGTGCGCTTGCGACTTTTACGGGGGAATTTTCGCACCATAGATGGTAGAGCCCGGAGTCTAATACTTGAGTAGTAAAATAGGTCTTTCAGATTTGCACGTACAGTACTTGTATTTGCTGCAGTATGATACTAGCTCAAAAGTTTTCGTCCGATGCCCTTTTTAGACCAAAAGTATCCAACTTCACCATCCTCTCTCACAGTACAATGTCAAAAAAAATTCAGCGCATTCGAAAACCTGTAAATAATATAGGGAACATTATAGAATTTTTAAATATTATAAAGCAGTGGAAAAAATGTCAGTTAAGTGTGAGGTATTGGTTGTCATGTAACTTATTTGTACAGTACAGAGCCCAACACAAAAATTTAGGTCACCTCCACACAGGCCAACACCATTGTAAACAATGAGCACAGCTTTGATCTTCTGCAGCTCTGCTTCTAGAGATTTAAATTAATAGCACTTACCTAGCTGAGGGAGAAATTTAAAGCGTTTTCAACAGGGTAGTGTTAAGAATTGCCAGTCTGAAAATGTCGTAAAACCCGGTGTCGGACGAAAACTTTTTTTACTATCATACGTCTCATGGTATCTGCGATCACGCTGTTAATCCTTGTAACCCACAATATGATTGTCCTCCAAAAAAAAAAAGTTGTGCTGTTTGACAAGGCTGCTGCCCTACCGGTAGACTAGCCCACACCCCACCATTCCACTTTATTTCCCGCTTCATGGGAGCGGACCCCTAACTGCCCCCCCAAAATGCGGCAGCCTAACCCTGGAGAAGTGGGGGGTAATCCAAGCAAGGAAGGAGAATTTACTCGAGTGCAGTACCGGTATGATAGGATACGAGCACCGCACATGCAAAACCCTTGAACGAACGAGCAAAAGCACAACAGCGAGCAAAACCCGACAAAAAGAGCAAACACCTGTCGGAGCAAACGCCGACGCCCGATTCCTCCAGTAGGGCCTTGCTTGCGCGGTGCCAGTGCTGCAGGCCCCGCCCAGGGTATGGTTCTGCCCGTGATAAAGCAATGAAAAACAGCTTGAAAAAGTAGGTGTGGGACTTACGGTTTTCAAAATTTGCCTTTATTTCATGGAGCTTGCAGCCAAGAGGCCTAGTAGCTGCATTGTAGAGCTGGATTATTTGTATTATTTTTCGTTGGGATGTTATAATGTTCCGAAAGCTGGACGAAAAAGATGTAATTGGACATCGGGATAATGAATAATATGGAGATAATCTGATGGGATTTTTAAAGCCAATGGAATAGCAACAACGATATCTATTGTTATATGAAATAGGTCTTATACTGATAATATCTAATTATGAAATATACAGGATTATCTAGTTTTAGCCCTTACAACTATAAGATAGAGAATTTGATAACTATACGGTATTCCCCTCAAGTCAATAAGGATAATAAGCCCAACAATTTCTCTTAAGATAACTTACCTTTTGGAGAATGAAAGCAAATGCAAAAATTTATTATGGTGTGGGCGCAACGGAGGTAGTATATTATGAATTGAAACCGAAAGTGTCATACCAGTAAAATCAGAAGTCCAGTATGAGCAAGGCACTAGAGAAAGAATGGATAATAATTTTAGCTCCAATAATTCTTTGAACTAGAATGTAGAAAGTAGGTTATAGGAGATTATAATAAAGTATAATATTATGGTAGTAAGTACGGTAGGTAGCACTATACATTTGGCTGGACGAAGTGAGAATAGAAAAGCAAGATATAAGAAGATACTCCGAGTCTCATACATGAACCACAAGAAATAATAACTTAAACTCATTAAATAATATTGGTATCATACCAAACAATCTACTAACAGAAGCCACCTCCCTCTATTCCTAATTGATAATTTCTAAGAAATAATTCACCCAACTCGCTTGTTTATTAATTTTGGGAGGGTTTTTTCTTTCCTCGACAGTTCATTTCCCTCTTTCTTTTCCCTACGCCCAATGAAACACATTGTTGGTTTAGCGCGACCGGAACTGTATGCGCTACTAATCCCTTCGCTTGTACTCAAGTAGGTACCTTAGTACTCGAGTGTTGGCGGAGCTATGGTGGAGACCACATTCTACCTAAAAGGATAATAACGCCTCCTATACAAGCAAATACCCCGTAGATCCTAGGGAACAGACGTTCATTGGCCGGGTCAACATCAGTAGACCTCAGCCATACCCCTTCAAGCTAAGTATTCCCCCAACTTTCGAGCCAAAATTCTATGAAATCCGACATAGGAACAAAGGGATTCTACGACTCCCGACCCGCTATGCTGTTGGGATTACTCCATCAGTAATGTGAGGTTTACATCCCGTGCTTCCGATAGAGGCTCATACGACCTACTATTTGAGAGGTGAAGCAAAATCTACAGCAGCATGCAACGCCACAACACTGTCAGAGTGTTTTGCACCCAACCTTTATCAAACATAG